GGATTGTGGGAAATCAATGTTATCAACACAAATGTTGCACAAGCGCGGCGCGACGACCACCGCCTTTAATTTAGTCGCGTTTTGTTTGATGAATATTTCGGAATTAGTGATTCTTAAAATTAGACACAAACCTATCTAGCGTCATGTTGACGAATATGTACGTGATCTGATGTCATTACAGTACAGTAATCGTCACACGCCCAGAGAAATTGGAACAAAACATACACCAACACAGTCTGGTTTGTACGTGACCCTTGCGTCGACTACGAAGCGATATGCTGAGAATGTGCATCCAAATACCATTGAAAACGCCGATCGATGTATCGATATACTTACACACTCTACTATTCACAAAAAGAGAAAGCGAAAACGGTGTACATTACCTCTGTGAAGCTTGTAAAACAGATGAAGGCGAAAGTAAATAGGATTGATTGAATTGACTCCATCTTAAATACTAGGTCAAGCACAGATACCGAGGTTATTGTTAGAGGGCGCTGCTCAGGGCAAAACATTGTTTCAAAATTTCTTAATACGGCCTGACATTTTTTTTTTTGACGACCGAATGTTGAAAAATGCAGAAATTGCAGATAGTGATGCTATTGCTATTATTGCTAGCACCAACAGAAATATCTGACGGCCATTGACAAAACATGGAACGACCCAAAATGAGCCAAACGACGCCAAAACGATCGAGCCAAACTATCTCAAAACTAGCCAAATAACTAAAAAACGAGCCAAACGGACAATAAACAAGCCAAATGAGTCACAAACGAACCAAAATTAGGCACAAAATCAAAAAGGGTGAGTGGTCAGCCATTTTGAAAGGATACTTTGAGATGGTACCTGCTGAGATAGTAGTTGGGATATTAACATGCACCCCAAACCACTAACTTTGAGTGGTTTGAACCCCGGGGGGCTACTTCCACATTAAGTGGGTAAGGGTGTGAAGCCCACCTTTCGTAAACTATACTCACTTCTAAACCATTTTTTTCTACTTATATACCCACTTCTAAACACAAGTGTTTTCAACGAAAAAAAAAACACCCAGCTCACACCTTTCGCAACCAGTGAATGCATCTCGGCAATGCATTTTATTCAGCCTCTTCCGGTATTTGGCTTTGAAAAAGTAAACTACACAATTCTAAACCAAAACATTGATAAATGACTACCCACTTCTATACAAAATAACGTGAAATGACACTCCAGTCGGGCGACACATACCCGTATTGCACTTCTATGCAAGTAGCCCCCCCCCCCCGGGGTGAACATGCACCACGTCGTGCCGACAAATTCTAATCTCTGTATGAGCCCTTTTAGAAAAACGCGACAGTCGTCTTCCACTATCCGCGCAATCACAATTTCTACTTACGACTGTTATTGGTTTTATCCCTGACATAATGCTATTTTAATTTATTTATATTATATTTCCGTTTGATTGATATTATAAAAAAATAACATAATACAAATATTGTCATATTATTATTATTATGACTATTATCTTGACCTTTCGCCATCGCAATCTTATCGATGCAGTCATCACATTGAGATACAATCTACATTTAACGTGTTTAATATTTGCTTGTATGAATAGAGGTACCTGTTAAACCACTGACCTACACCCGCGGTCACTCGTACTAATGACGATTCATGCAAATAAACATTACAATTATAAATACTGTAAAAATAACAGTAATACAGGATGGGTATAATTCAGCGACAAAACTGTCAATTGTTGATAATATCGTTAATTTTACATTTTATGTTTTACGTTGTGCATTTTCCAAGTTCAAATTCAAATTCAAATTGAGAACTAAATACTATCTACCATGAGTTTAGTTTCAGATCTCGACGATACATAACAGTGTTGATCTGATCTGCTCACCCACCACTCAGATTGAAAACACACCCATTTGGTATAATTATCAATTTTGTATAAATATGTATTCTTAGTTATCGTAGTTGACAATCAGATCATATGCATTTGGGGGGTCAAAGTACTCGTATATGTGTCCAACAACAACATGGCTTCTCAAAACTCGGTGACCACTCTGGACGACCAGCGTCGATTCATTAGAAGAGCAATCGACCTGAGTTATATAGGAGCATGCACAAAACGGGTCGGTGAGCCATTTGGGGCGGTCATAGTTAAAGATGGCAAGATCATAGGTATGATAACATTCACATATTTCCGGTGCTATCTGTGACTGATTTGACAACGCACGACTTCTCCAAATGTATCGTTCTTTGCGTCTCACTGATTTTTTGAGATATATTAATTTTCTATCCTCTGCATTACGTTTAACACCCCCGGCACTCATACATTTCCCTGATAACTACAATCAGGTATATGTTTAAATTCTCCCACCCCTTCCAAAAATTTAAAAAATGACTTCGTAAGATTGGCCACCGTGACCAAATCAACACGTTTTTTGCTGTGCTAGCACTAGGCAATATACCGTTTATAATCTACTTATCTACTCTGTACTCGAAATGACTGAATTTCAGGCAACGTGTACACTCACGCTTGCGGAACCATTATTATAGTGTGCCGTATACGGGATGGGGCCTTTGTGGGGCTTCTCCGTATTCAGCAGTTGGGAGCTTGTCTTCAATACAGGTCTAATAATAATCAACGTCTCTGGTAGCGTGCTTATCTTATAAGTCTCCCCCCTCTAAGCTTGTCCGCTGTCATGGGGTGGGTGGTCGTTTGGTGAATGTATATCACCACAACTGAGGCTGTGAAGGGAAGAAAAATATACCAGTAACGAATACAATAAATCAAAACAACACAATATATAATGTTTCCTTTACTTTAATAAAATAAATAATAGGGGTGCTGGTCACTGAAATCAGCAAGGAGTGGGGATACACAGTAAACAAATAAAATTAGGGACTTGATCGATGCTGCAGGGAACACTCCACTCTCCAATGGACAGCAATGTGCAATGTTGCGTTCCTTCGTATCTGGCACACTGTCGAAGCAGCTGCACTACAATTTAAACTTATGCTCTGTGTCCAGGGAGTATCGGCAACTGCACTGCTATCTGCTGCTACTGGTAGCACTGGAGCCATTCGGGCAGTGAGCGTCAGGGGTTCCTGTTGATGAGCAGGAATTTAATAATAATACTGAACAGCACGTCTGCGTATGTAGGGTACAGCTCACTGGAGTCAAGAGTTAACATCACAAGATTATACGGGTCAAGTCAGGTCACCTTCCTTAATAAAGACTTTCACATATGCATCGACTTAAATACTGAAACGAAATTATGGCCATACAAAAAACAATAAAATGTATCCAACGAAATGATTGGTTATCTCGAAATAGCGGACAAATTATTGAATAGAGGATGCTGCCAATTGTGGAATAAACCACTCTTTATCCAAGCTCTACCAATTTAAAGTAGGAGACTCGGGTCAATGACGTCATATTTATTTTGATTGCCAGCAACGCTGGGCTCAGCATATTGCAAGGTATTTCACAATCACCACACCACTGTCTGGGACATACCATTATGCCAAAGGGGAAACAGGATGTATGTATCTCAAATTCTGCTGACAACACAATCCAGTGACTGTATCAGCAGTCTAAAAATAAACATGTGCAATGGGTTGTTGCAAAGTATCCAAATATGTGTGCTTTTCATTCACACATCCAGGGCTCTGTACTTTCCACTTACAATTTATGTAACAATAAGTTGGATAAGAGGTGAGCAAATCGTTAGTTGGGTAATAAATCCGACAAAATATCACAATCGTGATGCGTGCGCAGGTGACGACCCTCCCGATTTAAATTGACATATGCATTGACCAATAATCGTGTTTTCACCTTATCTACACCCTCAAGGTATACTCCATTATTACACACACACACCCGTATAATAACATATACTATGCCATAAGTTTTGTTTTGTTACAGGTGAAGGTTACAACATGATGACAATGAACTCTGACCCAACAGCACACGGCGAAATTGTAGCAATAAGAAATACGTGTGAGTCGATCAAGTCTTTAGACCTATCAGGTTGCCACATGTATTCGAGCTGTGAACCCTGTCTAATGTGTGCTTCTGCCATTCTTTTAACTGGGTAAGATTCACAAATCAACGTTATCTTGGCCTTCCAACCCAACCTGTTTCGACCAACATCGACCAATCATATACTTACCTATCCTAACCTCTCAACTCAACCCGACCCTATACTTACTCAACTCAACCAACCAACCAACCCAAGTCTGTAATCTCCTAAAAGTCAACCCACCTACCAGATCCGAACCTCTCAACCCACTCCATGGCCCAAACACAACCCTAGACTACCTAACCGGACCCCTATCTCCAAGCCTATACCACCATATTCTAACCTCGTGACCCAACCTGTTTTTCTGACCCAGCGCAATTCTACCATCCTGAAATAATCCATTCAAATTGTAGGGGAAGGTTTGGGTCGTGGAGTAGGGGAGACAAAGACGAGGTGTGCCTAGTTAGAACACAAAGTGGCAACTGATTTAATCGTTAAAACTAAGCATCTATATACTGTTACATGTCAATATTTGTGCAAACAGAAATTGTAGGGTAGCAGGATGTTGCATAATACTTAAGTCGTAGAGACTACAAATGGTTAGGCATCTGTTCTTCTTATCTGTGCCATCAAAGACATAACACATTTTCAGACACATATCCCTCTCAAGCCCACCCCACTCTTTCCAAATCAATCAACTCGATCCAACCCTATTCTTAGCCTCAATCTTACCCAAATCTAGCCTACCATATCTTATTTATCGACCCAATTGAATCGTACCTTATCAATCTTTCCAGACCCAACCCAATCTCATCCTTTCCTGGCTCAACCTATCATACTATCCCAACATAACATAACCATTTCCCATCCTCTCAGCCACACCAAATTTTCCCTATATTCCTAATCCAACATAACTTAATCGCATCCCAACCTACCACCCTGACTCAACCCAATCCTACCTTATCCTCTCGACCTGACCCAATCTTATTCCCACCATCCCGACATAAGTCAGACAACCTAACCCAACCGTCCTGACCCTACTCAGTCCTACCTTATCCTCCTGATCTGACCCAATCTTATTCCCACCATACAGACATAAGTTCAGCCAACCTAACCCAACAATCCTGACCCAACCCAGTCCTATACCTTATCCCCGACCTGACCCAATCTTATTCCCACCCCGA